GCAAGATATATCATGACACTGGGCTTTAATGTGTTTCATGGGCTAAAAAGCATCTGAGGTTTATTGATTTTTAAATTACTGTAGCTGCACTGCACTGCACTGTGGCTCAGTGGCTAAAGAAAAAAGGTCTTGGCTTCAGACCTCAGATCTACCTGCATCTGCAAGACTTTCCTCCTCATCCTTTAATCCAAAGATATGTCTGTCTGTATGTATTAGAGCTAGGCAGTAGGTAGTTTTTGAAAAAGCAAAAATAAAAGGCATAATTTGAAAATACACCCTTTAGTTGCAGCTCTCCATTCTTTGTCCTGAGTTCCTCCCATCACACAACTACAGGCATATGCACACACTTCATTAACCCAGTGTGTTTCCCCATACATTGATTTATTTAATCTTATTTAATTGTACAGCTGCCACACAGCACATTTGCTTGCCCTGCTCGCTCTGATTTTCTTTTTATCAGGCCACAAATGAGACAAGAATTAGCATGGTCCCTCCGCCTCACTCCCCACCTCTGTGGGCTGTTTGGTGGGCAAGAGTGCAACAGCAGTTCCACATACCTTTTGGTGGGCAGTTCAGCCAGTACAAACCCCTCAGTGGCAGGTGTCACAGCAGGCTGGTGGCCTTACCAGGTCTAACCTGTGTAATGGCAGCAACAGAAAGTTTGCTGAGCTGGAGGGGAGACAGAGCAGTCAGGTCCACCAGTGCTGGTTGGTTTCATGTTGCTGTGGTCCCTGAATGGGGGCCAGTCTCCAGAGCTGTTGCCAACTCTTCTCCCAGCGAGGTGGTCTGTAGCGGTGGGGAGTGAGGTGGAGGACACACTTCGATTCGAGGCTCTAGCTAACTATATAAATGTGAATTTGAATCCATAGATGTGAGCCTTTGGCTCCAGTTAGCAGAATGCTAAACTATTAGCAATATTGTCTCTCCATCTCTGAAATATTTAACTGATGCAGACATGTTTTATTTCTTTTATTGTCAGACTCTCTTTTAGTCGGCTGTCTGTTAATGTTGGGCCGTTGGTGAGTGTCTGTTGTCCTAGTCGGTGCTGTGTGTCCCACACCATTGCCCCTTGTCAGCCCCCATCAGCTTTTTATTGGCCAGTTCAGCATGTCGGCAGATCCTGTGAATGAAAACACTCTGTTTGGCAGCTCAGCACACAAGAAGAGAAACGGAAGTGAGGAAAGTATACAAAGAGCTTAAGTCAAGAGGGAGTCAGACCAAAATAAACTTGTTACATAAGGTAAGATTATTTTTCTTTAGCCACTGCAGAAACACTTTGTGATGGTTTGTGTCCATGTCTTTCAACACTGAATTGTTTTAATGTGTTAACTGGCTAAAACTAGCATGAAGACAATCTTTTGGTCTCCCTTTTAGAATGACGATTATACACTACCACTGCCTGCTGGTGTGGAGAGTTATATCCTCTCACACACGCACAGAACATACATGTTGGTTGACTGTCAGCTGAAGTCTATGTGGTGTGTTCATGTGCACCTAGATATGGTGACATCAGGCAATGCAGCAGTGGGCCTTCGTCGCTGTTAGTTCTCTGAAGTTGGTTTAGTGTGAAGGCCTTAAAAAAGAAAGTTGAGAGTTGGTCATCCTCTTTGGGTTGTTTTGCAGTGTAGGTAGTTATTGCCAGTGTTGGAATAGTAACTTTTTCCACATAATTTCTGCCACTTAACGAGTTCACCATCTGAAGGGACATGCACACCTATCAGTATTTGCAGAACAGCAAATAGGAATGATCGCTTTCTGAAATGACCTGAAATTATGAGTCTCTCATAATAAGTTGGAAATTAGAAAGCCTGAAAACAGAGCCAAGGGGAGGTGCAGAAAAAAACTCCCAAAATTAATTATGGGATTTTTGCCTAATGACGCTTAAAACAAAACTGCCTTCCCCCAGCTTTAACCATGTCACTTTATATTTGCACCTGTTCACCTTATGGTGAGTGTTGTGTGTGTGCTATCATATGCTTCAGTTCTCAAGACCTTGCTGCCCTACATGATAGAAAACTGTGCCCCACCACATACAATTAGTACCCTTTCTATTTTTTACACCCCTGCCCTTCAGACTGCCTGAGTCCACAACTACCTGCTGACATGGTGAGCTCATATGCAGCCAACTTTCAAGCTTTGCAACAAAGGGAAGGGGGGAGGGTCGTCTTTGTCATATGGATGTTACACTTTCAACTTCCTTTAGTCGACTTTGCTAATCACTAATAATCAGAGACCAGTTAGAATTAGGTCTTGAGACTCTAGTAGGTGGGAGCTCAGGATGGAGAGTGGTGTTTGAAAGCCAGAGGGTTCAGCAGCTGGCCAAGTAATGGCTGAGTCATTGGTATTGATCCATAATCCTTTCAACCTCCACAGATATATTATGATCATTTTTGTGCCATCCTGCAGTAAAAATCTTACTTATTGCACACTTAAAACCAGTCACCTCATCCTTTTTTCTTTCTTTTTTTTACTTTAAATACTGCCCCCAAAATATGAGAACTGTGCTGCCCCAAACCCTACACAGGCAATGTAGACGAATACTACTGAATATTACACATTTTAGGTTTATTCGCTCATTTATTTTTCAACTTTGCAATGATTATATTGGATTTTATATGCAGTATCGTCACAGACATTATTCTGCTGAACAAAAGAATGTTTAATACACTGATGACACAGGATTGACATGAGACTAAGACAAAAATAAAAAAAAATGCTTAAACTGAGTTGGAGTCTGTTATCACGCCACACAGATATATACACAGGTCCACAGAAATTTGGTGGAAAAGTTCAGTGATAAGTATAGTTTTAATAACTGTCAGTATCACTATAACAGCTTCCCCTTTAGGATTGAAACAGCTGCATTGAATTTACAAGGTCAGTTCTGTGTAGACTGCCAGTGGAGCAGCTCCAGGTTATGTATCTTGATGATACTACAGAATTCAGTGTTGATTTTCTGGCTTTCAAAGAGCTGCTCTTTTGCATAAATGTTTAAGCTACAGTACGGGAATAATATTTGTCTTTTCTTTTTTTTTAGTGATTGTTCATATGACTGAAAAAGAAAGGGATCATAATGAAGGATTATTCATTAACTGATTATAAACCCACAGTGCATTTGTGTAGGCCACAAAGCCAATATCTCAGGGTCAGTAGTTTACATGTTTTTCTCCATGTGTGTACGTGTGAATGTCCTGCTGTAGGCTAAGCTGCCATGATTCATAAACTTCTGCCGATGCACAGTAATTATTCATGACAAGTAACACCTACTCTGTGTGGGCGGGAGCAAATCGAGTCATATTGACATGTTTCAGCAAGCAAGCCGTCTGATGTTTCACACGTCCCTCATGTTTTCCACACGGTGGATGAAGCTTACACGGACTGTTTTTCTGTAAGGGGAAGACTGTACAAGCTTACAGGTTAAATAGACCTCCAGGTGACTTGTATACTGTAATACAGCAAATGACTGACATCATATTGCATTAATACCGAGTAAAGCACACCAGAGACAGTCAAGGGTAGACCGGAAATTTAATACGTGTGCCTTCAAAATAAAGTTTTGTTTCATGGGAATTGAAAATACAGGCCTATAAATTCAAATGGAAACTCAAATGAGAATCTAATAAAACAAGAAAGTCATGTTTCCATAATACATTTGCCTGGACTTTTTAATGATTTAAACACCCTCTTGTTACATAAATTGATTACAAACTGACATTACTATAGGCAAAAACCAACAGACTCAAATACATAGACTCTTGTCAAATATGAATCACACCTAGCTATAACACAAAAATGTTCAGTTTTTACATTATTATCTTAGGGACTGTTCATCATTTATGAAGTGGGAGGGGCTGGGCCAAAATGGAGAGAGCAGGTAAATTATTTAAGCACTGGGAGGGACTTACATTTTCTATTTTAGCTTAGGGGAGGGACATATGACTTTTAACTGTTGTATTTTGCATTTACTTTAAATAGCCTACCCTCTGAGCCACAAAACCCACCAACAGGATTCAAAAGCATTTTTTCCTAAAAGATAACCAAACTCACACCATTTATCATAGCCACAAACTGTGGAGACAAATATGACAAATGCTTCCATAAGAAAACACAGGCAAATCTATCTTAAATTAGTTAGAATTAGACATTTAAATTAGACATTTCATCAAAATCACTTTATTTTACATGTCTCATTTAAATTGTTTATTTAAAAATAAATCTTACACTAACCAGATCTTGTAAAAAAAAAAAAAAAACCCAAACATTAAATTCTGCACTCTCTATTAAATTCGCAATAGTGGAAAACCAAGGCTTTTGTCATCCCAGGATTTTGTTTTCAGTTTTTAACTCTCAAACATATCTCCAAACCCTAAACTTCCCTTAGGAGAAGGACATACTAATTTAAATGGTTGTATTTTGTATTTATTTTAATTATCCTATTTTAAATACCCACTGAAACCTGCCATTGGGTTTCAAAGGCGTATTTTCTTTAAAAACGCTAAAATTACACCATGTATCATACCCTCTGAAAGCTGCCCGTGGGTTTAAAAGGCAAGTTTTTCTTAAACATTTTTTTTTAAAATTACACTATTTATCATAGTCAGAAATTGTGTAAACACAAGGTATTGCTTGTATTTCAGACAGTCCATGAACATATAATCTTCAATTAATGCTTCCTTAAAAAAAAAATCATAACCAAAGTTTAAAATGGTGATATTTTATCAAAATCACTTTCTTCTATATTTTTATTTAAAAATTAAATGTGCCTCCAGTCACTGGGGGCATTCAAGGCAAAAATATTTCTAGCTTTGGGAAAGGTCAAGATATGAACAAAAAAATAAAGTCACACCCCAGCCAGCCGGTCCTCTAATAAACAAAGAACAGTCCCTTATGTGCTTTGTAGTCTGTTTATCTGGAATTTTTGCAGCATGTTAGCCGTTTCCGCTCCACAGCGGGCTTTATTTTGAAAACCTCTAACGGAAGTAAGTTGTAGGTATGTTCTCTCGACTGGGGCTTGTGCAGTGTTTTGCTTTACCTTCTGACCAAGCGACAGGCTCACAGGAGGAGGGAGTAGAACTTTTTACTAGCTTCGCCCTCTCCTCTTCATCATGGAGGCTCGGCCACATTTCTCCCGTGAGGAAATAAACAGCACGGTGTGGGAAGTCCCGGAGAAATACACACGGCTCAAACAGATAGGGACCGGGGCGTACGGCTCCGTGTGGTGAGTCTCGTTTACCTAACGCTGAATGAAGTGTGTACGTGTGTGTGTGTGTGTGTGTGTGTGTGTGTGTGTGTCATAGTTGGGACTGGGCTGTGTTATGAATAATGTTTAGTCTGAGCCCAGCATTTAAACATTAGCTGCACTGGCTGCATGCAGCCTGTGTTGGGCCCGGATTATATCCTGTAACGCTACTGTACACCAACACACTGTCAACAGTCAAGACACAGCTACTAACTCATATTATCATCAACTTATATCACCTGACACCTTGTAACACACTAGCAGCATATGTTAGCACGAAGACTACATATCCCACAACACGTACCATACTACCTGATATGTGTATGTCTGTACAATAACTGAGGAGATGTAGCTATTTTAGAATGTCAATATTAAAGATGGCCACTTTCCACTTTCATTTCTTCATGTAGTTATCAACAAGGTACAGAGATACATAGTGCAAGCCATAGAAACAGACAGTGTGTACACTGCATCATACATATGCACATACATATGTGCATACATAAATAGCATATTATGTAATTATGTGTTGTGACATCCATAGCAGAAATTACATGAAATTTTAGGGATTTACATGAATGTCGGGGGTCAGGCCTCAAGGGAAACACAACTTTCAGTAGCATCATGTTGTTGCTGTTGTGACATAATGTGTTTGTTTAAGCAAGTAGAGTAAATACATTGGACACACCCAACATCACTCAACATTATAAATTCACAGCTACCATGTTGTTTATCCAGCTGACTAGATTTTAAAATCAGTGTCTTGTGTTAAGGTCAACTAATGCTGCAATTTGATGATACATTTGTAATATATTGTTGGTATAATATATGATGTATAATCAGGGTTCCTGCTTATCCTTAAAAAAGCCTTAAGAGGCATTGTGTTGATGAAATTTCAGAGCTGATGATTTAATAGCTTAAAAAGACCTCAGGAGACTTTGATGGATCACAAACAGTATTAAATGAAAACTTGATTGAGGAGAATCACAGCTCAACATACAGAGTATAACACTGTGTATGCCGTCCAGAGATTCTGAGGGTGTCCCCTTGCCCAGTCCTTGCATTTAAGCCAAACAGTATTCCCTTGCAAGTTACTCCGCGTTCCCAAATAAGGTCATTCTGCCCCGATCAATGGCTATGTGAAGTTTCTATTGGGTACTAACTTTGAACGACAAGCATGCTCACCTGTCTCGCTTTAAACCACCTCGCCTGTATCTTACAAAATGCACATAGCCTACCTAATAGGAGACTCTCGTCTGTTGAGCCCAGAACATAGGGCCTTCCCTTTAACCTTGGGAGCTATGGCAACAGGGCTTGCTAGGTACCCTTATCTGGGCAGCTGTACTCCCTCAGCCACAACTGGGAGACAATAGATGGAGAATGTTCATAACAAAGGTCAAGTAGCCTGACTTCAAGGCCTCTTTTGGGCCTTCTGCTGACTCAACTGTCACATTAAACTTAACTATCATCCATTTTCTTAACTGAACAAGGCTAAAGGCTGTAACACAACAACATTCCTTCACACACTGAATTTATTCATCAAAAATAAGGCCTGAATTGGTATTAAATGTCTTAAAACAATCTTTCAGAAGTCTTAAAATGCTAAGACATGGGAAGTATGATGAATATTTTTTCTCACATTGCACTGTAGAATCTCAGAATAATTGGTAACATTTACATTTCTTGAATAATTTACCAAATGTCTCTGGCATTAGCATCACGCAGTGACACACGTGGAACCATCCACTCTCATATTTTGTTTCCAGTGGGTAGAGGATCCATTGTTTGCCTGCTAGCCCTCACTGTACCTTGGACGGCAAGGGAAAGTGAAAATTCAAGGAAAATTGGCCATCTAATGAAGATTTTGTGACATGGCTGAAACCAGTACACAGCAACACACATGAGAATTGGTGTATTTTATGCAGAAAGTTTCTCAACCTTTCAATAGGAGTCAAGGTAGTAGAATCCCTCATGCAGAGTGAAAAAAAACAAATCCACCCAGAAAACCTGCCAACAAACACCTAATTCTTTTCAAAAAGTCATGTTTTATGTTACAATATAGGATATATAAAAAACTCCCTATTTCTACATAATCGATGTTCTTTAATGTTTTTGTTTCTCTTCAAGTTTGTTTTTTGTACAATTGGTCTTAAATTTCATTCTGTGTGGCATTAAAAAATATCCTTAATAAAGTCTAAGGGCTCTAGTTTCCCGGCGCAGCGCAGGGTGGCGAACCCTGCGCAGAGCTAGTTTCGAGCAGCACAACCCGAGGCACGCTCAGTTTGGTAGTTTGGCAGACCGAGGTGCGCTGAGATGGGTGTGGCGGCGCAGCAGGGGGAGGTGTCGACAGATCCAGCTTGGCGCAGTGACAGTTTCGTGCCAAAAGGCTTCGCTCAAGGTGCGCTAAAAGCTCGCCAGCTGAAACCAGGTCTATTGTCAGCACAGGCGGAGCGCAGCTGGTGTAAGTCGAAGTTTGGCTGACCGGTGGACAGTGCGCACACGTCACCAAAACCTCACAGGCAGGTTTCCAGAATATCAGGCACATTAACGATGCAATAAATACCCACAAAAACCACTATTCAATGCAACTATCTGTAATCAGCACATAAATGTATCTCTATATCGACTGTCCCATCACATCTGATGTCAGATCAAAGGGGATTGGCACCGTTTGGCACGTTTGGCATGCGTAATGGAAACCCAACCTGGTTTGATTAACAAAACTAATGAGTTCACATCCCTCTCAGCCAACCACAAACAGCCACAGAATCAGATAGGGAGTATATATTCAGCATCTGTAATCTTAGAAAAGCCAAAAGAAAAGAAACAGAGTGAGACTGCGAGAGAGAAAGAGAGAGCGCGTGCGCACGAGAGAAACGCAACATTGATTTACAAATGTGGTGACCTCCTCCCAGGCTACCTTTGCATCATCAGCCCGTGGAGGTCTGCTCGCAGTTCCGTATATTAGGACACTGCGAGGTTGGACCTCCTGGACCAAAACATCAGTTTCCTCCTGGGAGAAGTTTGGCCGTCTGACGCTGCTGCTCTCTTCTGCCATGGCGAATTGAGTAAACTCTCATCACGCCTTCGTGCGGCGCATTTAAGGGCGAGGAGAGGGGCTCATTTGATTGGTGTGATGTGTGTAAAACCCACTCCGCGCCTTCTCTCCTCCCTCTTTCCGACTTGCGCAGGTAGGAGGGACAGAGGTGGGAAAGAGGAGTAGCTGCGCCAGCGCGCACGGTGTGCCAAACTTGCAAAATCCGCCTGGCCACACCCAGTTGGCAAAGTGCAGGTGCGCCCCCACCTCGCCCGGTCTGCGAAACTAGAGCCTTATAAGTTTAACTTGCTTCAAGCTATAGAAACCCTGTGTATAATGATGTATTCGTAATATTTAATCTTAAAAGGTTAAAATCATATAAACCTTTCCTCAAGACATAAAATTCTCAAGCTGGTCTAAGTGTCTGAAGTGTCTCTTTACCTTTCAGTTGATTTGGTCTGTTTGTTATCGTCTCGTTAAGCGGAAGTCTCATTCTTAAATCTCACGAGATGTTACTCGTTGCAGAACGATAACAAAGGAAATGTGTGTATCAAAGGCTTCATCCACATTGTCGAAATCAACTAAATAATCAACTACTGTTTATGTACTCCAACGCCACAAACTATTTCTACTATTACTTACTCTCACTCCAGCTCTGTCAAAAGGGAGTCTGTCGTGAGAATATTAGATTCTGCGCAGGCCTGGCTCATCTAAAACAAGCCTAATAATAAACAGACCAGATCAAATGAATGGTAAAGAGACATTTCAGACACTAATAACAATCTGAGCCATAACCACTTACGATGGATATACAGTGACGGTGCTCAGTTGCTCCATATGCTTCCATTGCTGTTGTATGGCTGCCTGGCTGCTGCTGTCTAGCTCAACCAGGACCAGTCACCTAGACACATATAGCTACATGAGAAAATAGGGTCCAGGTTGAAAAGTGCCGAAGTCATCCGTTAATAATCTCTTTAACAATTCAGTGATTTGTGATATTGAGCTTTGTAAATAAAATTGAATTGAAATGAATTGAATAGATGTGACACAGTGTGTAGAAGCTGGTACTAGGGCTAAAACTAATGATTATTTTCATTATTGGTTAATCTGCCGATTATTTACATGATAACTGGTAATCGATCAATTATTTAGTATATGAAATGTCAAAAAATTGTGAAAAATACTTACTACAGCTCAAAGTGACACCTTTAAAATGCTTCTTTTGTCCAACCAACAGTCATTAACCCAAAGACTATTATACATTTACTGCATCATACATCCATACAATCATAAATTTGTGGAGCTAGAACCAAATAATGTTTGACATTTTTGTTTGAAAATTGACTGACAAAATTATTTGATAATCAAAATAGTTAGCAATTAATTTTCTTTAAATAGACTAATCCAGTGGTTTTCAAAATTTTTGTGCCCAAGGCACAGCAAAAGGCAAGACAAATCTCAAAGCACACCTGTATTCATATCTGTGCACAATAGCTTATATAACGTGTGTCACTCCTATCACGACACAAGACAATAGAAATAAGAAAAAATAAGACAGGTAGCTTTCGTGACACTGTCTACTGACATTTTTTTTTTCTCTTTCAGCGGTAGGTCATCTTTGCTGGTTATTTGCTGTAATTTGCTCCGTACCATAAATTGATCCATTGTGCAACTCATGACTTCTTTTAAATGTCATCATCCCTCACACTGGCTGCCAATCTGGGCTTTTGATGTCTCACACACTTATAATTCCCATGTGCAAGCGGCGACAAATAGGTTCCCCGTGAAGGTTTTTTTTAAATTAAGTTAAAATTGAATTAGACTTTTAGCCAGAGTTTGCCTCTTTATTAAGACATGGGTGTGCACAACATACTGATACAGTCACTTAAAAATTCATTCATAACTTTTTGTATTGGCCCAGTTGAATATTGCAATAATAATGTGTGGTTACACCTGTACACCTGGCTTGGCATCATGGCTCACCATTTGAGAACCACTGGATTAATCAATAATCGACTGATCATTGCAGTGCTAGTTGGTACAGTTACTGTTGTCATACATTCAAGGCTGCTGTCAAGTTTAGACTAACATTATACAAACACTTGGATGTGTAATCTACACTAAGGGCTGCAGCCAGGATTTTAGTTCCCTTAGCAGAACCCCACCAATCTAAAACATTTTTGACTAGCCACTCACTTTTCTTTCTGTTACTATTAACATTTTTTTTTTTTTTTTTTTTTAGAAACTGCAGAATTGTTTAAAATGCCGTTTCTCTACATCATAATCTAATTTGCTGTTTCAAAGCCTTCTCTACTTCTGTTGCAGTTATGTAATTATGGTGAATACGAAATTCCTTTTATTCATATAGAGTACATGACTTTGTTGCGCTGCAGCCACTGTGCTGTCATCTCATTACTGTGGTAGACCCATACAGTACCACATACATATTCTGTAAATTATAGCACCACAAACAGGATCATTTCCATTGTACAGAGTGCTGAATGCTGAATTCCACTGAACATTCACTTTCAACATGTTTTGGAATACCAGTCCATGTGTTATGACCAGTTTTGATGTTAGGTTACACTCAGTCTCAGCTTTGTTATTTATACTATGGAGGGTGCACACTGACCAATGAGAGGGTGGAAAATTCTGAGAGCCTTGAGGAGGAAAAAAAAAATCAAAAAGTCAGATTGGTTTAAAATCCATCTTAGTGTACTTTGTTGCTTCTGTTAACAGAACTGCAGATATTACTGACTGTGGTTACCAGGCATTTATGTATTATAGTGTGGGAGTGATGATCTGTTAAAGCTTAAAATGTCTGACCTTTACAAGAAGCACCATCTGATGAACTTAGATCAAGCCCCCACTGTTGTCTGTAATTCTGGCAAATTTCATGTCTCACATAAATCATATTGTGGGAAACTGTAAACACAGGAGGAGGGAGAAATAATAAAAGCAAACATAACCAACAGTTTCATAACCACAACCACTGTATTTATTGTGGATGCCTATCTGGGATGGATCAGCTGCTGCATGTGAAATTTGCTGTTAATCTTCTACATTAGTGCATCATCGTTGTCCACAGCACTATGTACAAGTGATGTGTGTAATGTGTGTTGGTGGATGTGGCTCCAAATAGCCTAACAAGCTTGTCCTCCTACGATTTAGTGCCCTGCAGATCACTGCAGACGTGCACAACAAGAGTTGCCAAACATTTACATGTTCATACTCAATAAACCACAGACCCCCCCACTCACTGAGAGAATGAGTCCCACGTACTTTGCCTCCATCTGAGAACGGCTTTGCTGTGACATGATTTGCTTCTTAGCAAGAGTGAAACCTCAAAATAGACCGTCCTGTCATTTTCTCACTGCTCTGACTTCAAAAGAGTGAAATCATAGTGGTGCTAGAAGACACAGGCAGACTCTGAGTGTAGAGCTAATGACTTGTTTTTCCATTATTCATCACAGCTCAACAATAAATGAGAAGACTAAAGAGAAAGTGGCCATCAAGAAGCTCCACAGGCCCTTCCAGTCAGAGATCTTTGCTAAGAGGGCCTACCGAGAGCTCAAACTACTCAAACACATGAAGCATGAAAATGTGAGTAGATTAAACCAAACAAATCTCCTTTTGATTTAACATGTGCTTTTGGCCTTAAAATAGCATAATCATTTTTGCCTTTTTGATATTATAATATCCTGCAAGTACTTCTGCTCCTCACTTCTGCTCCCATGCCGCTGTATTAGTCACCTCGCTCTTTCATTCCAACCAGGTGATAGGACTTCTTGATGTGTTTTCGCCTGCCTCATGCCTCGATGACTTCCAGGACTTGTGAGTATTTTTCGCCATATTGACCAAGCCCTCAGGCACAGATAGGCAACGCCCTCTTTCCAGGGTAGGTATGGGGGCATTGGACAGAAAGTGCAGAGATGTCTGAAGCAAAGAGCAATATCAGAAGAGTAATATCAAAAGATGGTCAGAAGTGTTTGGACACCTCATGTGTGAATATTGAACATGTCATTCTAAAACCATGGATATTAGTATGCGTAAGATTTTTTAACCTGGCTGCACAGCTTTGCTCCCATCCTGCCACAAGAGTGTTTGTGAGGTCAGCCGCTAATGTTGGGCAATAAGGCCTGGCTCACAGCCACTGTCCCAATTCGTCCAAAGGTGATGATTGAAGTCATGGCTCTGTGCAGGCCAGTCAAGATCTCCCCCACCAAACTCTGAAAACTATTTCTTTGTGGACCTGCTGTGTGCACAGGGGAATTGTCATGTTGACACAGGAAAGGACCTTCCCTAAACTGTGCCACAAAGGTGGCATGATCTCATTGGTCCTGCACTCACTGTGTCAGAGAACAACAGCAAACCTACATGTTATTGGTTGGATTTCGATTCATGTCCACTGACACAGCACAAAGTACTGTTAACACTAAAACTCCCAACTTTATAGAATTTAAAGTGACCATTTTTAAAAATAAATGAAAATAAAAGATTTAGTTATTTGATTTGGCCATTTATCAATTAAGAGTTATATGGCGTAAGTTTGAGTTTAATGTGCTGGTAAGATGACTGTGTTGAGCTACAAACTTAGACTTTTACAGCAGCAAATCAGGAGGATATTGCAAAGAGGCAGAGTATATTGAAGGCTGTATAAACACGAGTGTTACATAAACATACACAAGCACCCTAAGCTCCTTCATCAGTGTATTAAAAGTCCTGGATTACAGCGTTAACAGAGTGTGGAAAACAACAGCGAACAGCAAAGGAGAGGCTTTTTCTTGTGCATTAGCTGTGATCTTGACTGAATAAAGCTTGCATCGTGTTTGGACTGTTCAGTAGAGGTAATCACACTGTCTGTTTCTTTCCATTCATTATCATGCTCGCTCTCCCTCTCATTTTCTCAGCTACCTGGTGATGCCTTATATGTTTACTGACCTGTCAAAGGTGAGAGGTCACCTCTCAGAAGACAAAGTCCAGTTTCTCGTCTACCAGATGCTCTGCGGACTCAGGGTGAGTGGAGGAAGCTGACCTCACAGAATACATTCCAAGGCTACCATGAAACATGTGTTTCATGTGTATATTTAATAGGGGTGGGACAAAAAATCATTTTTGCAATATATTGTTGTGCTCTCTCTCACAATAAATAATCGATACACTGAAGGCAAATTTCGATATTTTATTACAACACACACTCATATTAATGTTCATGCACTGTAATGTGTCCAGCTGTCCAGTGTTTACAAGCCTAGGAGGCAGTGAGGCACTATGCAAAAGTATTCATGCACATGTTTCTTTGTACATTGTTTCATGTACTAAGCCAGCAGTTTTGCACAAAAAATATATGAAGTTTTGGAATAAATGCATAATTACAGACATTTTCCTTTTTATGGGTATTTTTTTCTTTTTCAGTCACATATATTGTGATTTTTGGGCTGTTTCTGTAATAGCATGTCGTGAAATCATAGGCTGATGGCATTAAGTAACTTTAGCGCTGCTATTCTGTCTAGAAACGTGCATGGAATTCACCAAAACATGCTAGTCTATTTCATCAAAGCGTTAATGACTGTAGGATACTGATATTATAAGTTTAATTAATAATATCTATAGTACATGCAATATTGTCTCTTACATGAGATAAAAAAAAGCGCATTGTGAGCATTTACAGGCTAGGGGAAAGGACATTTTCCCTAACTATAACTGCCACCAACTGTATCTATGTTTAACTACATTAGACAGTTGTCAGGTGAACTCATAGTACAAACCGGCACACTAATGAAAACATCATGTAAACAGGCATATTCAAAACACAGAATACCATAAGTAAATGCCATATACCACAAATACATATTGGATGTGATTGCAATAAAATTGTCTGCTCCCTGCTCTGTCTCTCTCTCTCTGCAGTATATTCACAAGGCTGGAATCATCCACAGGGTAAGTATCAGTCACATGTCACTGTAGAGGGTTGACATTCGAGCTAGGAGAATGTTTCGGTCTGTAATAAACGTGTCTTTACAGACTATTATTAAGAAATTGTAATATGTGCAGTGTGCAGGGGTTTGTGCGCTGCATTATTCTTGCTCAGACATCACAGTTGAGCTTCTCCTTGTACAAAATACATGGGAATGTGGATCTAATTTGTCATTGTTATTGAGTCAGATCAAACCCTGCCCCAACAGGTAGGATGAGTTCACTCTGTGCTGTCTCTGTGCATGTCTAGAGATGTCAAGCCACACCTATTAGCACCAGTGCCAAGTGTGTGTGTGTGTGTGTGTGTGTGTGTGTGTGTGTGTGTGTGTGTGTGTGTGTGTGTGTGTGGTGAAAGTAGGGTTAGGTCAATACAGCACTAATATATCAGGCTTCTTATCTCTTACACAGAAATAGCCAGACCTAAAGTGTTGAAAAATAGGATCAACAAGTTCCTTTAAATTCTTTCAGGATTTCAACCAGTAAGATCTACTGTTAAATCTACTGTGCTCTTGTTTTGCAAGGGAAGTATTAGAGTTACAGCACACTAATATTCTCTCTGTTATGAGTATTTGACATGAGCATTTACCGGACAATGTAGCTTTTTTTCACCATGTTTTAATTACAACATATTTATTCATTCATTCATTCATCTTCTAACCGCTTCATCCTCTTGAGGGTCGCGGGGGGCTGGAGCCTATCCCAGCTAACATCGGGCGAGAGGCAGGGTACACCCTGGATAGGTCGCCAGACTATCGCAGGGCTGACACATAGAGACAAACAACCATTCACGCTCACATTCACACCTACGGACAATTTAGAGTTATCAATTAACCTAGTCCCCAATCTGCATGTCTTTGGACTGTGGGAGGAAGCCGGAGTGCCCGGAGAGAACCCACGCTGACACGGGGAGAACATGCAAACTCCGCACAGAAGGGCTCCCACACCCGGGATCGAACCGGCAACCCTCTTGCTGTACCCTCTACCATTTGTTTGAGATCAGCTAACTGTGCGTGTGCGTGCGTGTGTGTAAAATATGATCATGCTCATTCAGTCTGTGTTACCCTATTACCCTTGTAATCCCTTACGCTAAGACGTTATCAACACTCACTCACAACAGCGCCACCCTTATCACACAGTACTTTAGGAGTAACTCTGCAGAAACGCTGCAGTGAGTCTTATGGTCAGCTTATACTAAGTCACACCATTTTGATCCCTGTTTAAAATCCCCACAGTATCCAGGCATTGAGGCATACAGCTGAGCCGTATGAGGCCACAGGAACTTCAAGCTCTAACTCTTCCCGGTCCTAGTTTTGATACTGCACTGTACAAACACTATAATTTTCTGTTAATCACTAAGTGCATTAAGTACCCATCACTCAGCTCATTTTCTATTACAGGATCTAAAGCCTGGAAACTTGGCTGTAAACCAAGACTGTGAACTGAAGGTTGGTACCTCTAAGGATTACACTAGAAAAGATGACACAAGCTGAAATGATAGGGCTGCTGCAGCAGCAAAATAAAAGGATTCAGCAGGTACAAAATGTCCTAAAATACAAGATATACTATGAAGTTAGCATTAAGTTGTTTTTGCTACTGGACAGATTTGATTCTCACTTAAAATTGGCTTAGAAATAGTCTTATTTAGACATGCAGTACCTGAAGTATCAATAAATTAACAGATGTCTGTTCATGTTCCAGATTGTGATCAATTTCTTTCTTTCCGATGCAGATCCTGGACTTCGGGCTGGCTCGCAGTACTGACGCTGAGATGACAGGCTACGTGGTGACTCGTTGGTACCGGGCGCCTGAGGTCATTCTGAACTGGATGCACTACACCCAGACTGGCAAGACAATCGTAGCTGTTACATATTCTTACCTCGCTGTCGTCTCAGTATTGAGTTTGCCTGTCGGTGCTGTAACTGTTTGCTGTTTGTCGTGTGAAAACATCCGAGCTACAGGGATTTCTTACTTTAAGCAGTGGCTCATACGGTACTTTCTGGGTCAGCAGTTTTTATAATCCTGCCGTTGGTGTGTGAAATGCATTTGAAGTTTCACGGCTGTCATTCTGACAATAAATCTTTTTCTGCCTTAATCTGTTAGCATTTGACAAAGATGGGTCTGACAGCAGTCTGATAGCGTTGAGACTCAATGACAGAGCTGTCACTGCAGTGCAACTGACTTTCTCAGGATTTATGTTTCTTTAGCAGATAGTGGTTTTTCATTTTGTAAACAGCATCTACAGAAAGGGATGTAGCACAGAAAGCAACTCAGGCAAGTTTACATCCTACATAGGATTGTATTACTCACCAAGTATTCCCCAATATCACCAGCACAATAGATTCTGCACTACAACATGATGAGGAACTTTGCTCTGGCATATAAATGCCACCTTCCTCAGTTCTACTGCTTAAGTTAAAACACTGCTAGTGATGTTTATTCTGCAGTGGTTCTAACTCGTGTTTTCTTCTTTTTTTTTCTAGTGGACATCTGGTCTGTAGGCTGTATCATGGCAGAAATGATCAATGGAAAGACCCTTTTCAAAGGGAGAGACTGTATCCTTTCATCAGCCTTGTCCATTTACTGGAATTGTAAAGCTGGATTACGACATAAACGTTTCAGCATACAGAAATGTAAATGTACTGTATGATTCCTAAATTACAGCACATCATGTTTTAATATCACTTCATTAAATCAGTGTAATAGTATAGGTGATTAAAGCCACTTTAACAAACAGTGACAGTTTTATTTGATGTTAGGCACCATAAATCAGGTGCAGAATGGAACACAGAAGGCAAACACAGTATATTACATGTAGCAACACATTCTTTCAGGCAGCCTCCAATGTAGCCACTGCTGCATTGTATTACATACTTGTCCTACATGTTTGACATCTACTTTTCATGTTTTCATGCCATCTGTCCCATTCTCGTGAAAGCAATATCTCAGGAACACCTTGAGGGAATTTCATCAAATTTGTTGGCGAAGATTCTCATCCAGGTCATGATAATTCTACGTGTTATATCGTTGGCAACTGGACTCAGAATTGAAGAAGCTTCTTGGATGAGTGGTAAAACATCTTCAGGAAACCCAAGGAAGTCTAGTTGCCAGTGATATAGCATGTAGACATTCCTGAAATTTGACACACCTCTATAGTGCCATGTTGCCTCTCAGTAACATACCCATTTTTTTCCATTTTCACTCATACATTACATCCACAATTATGTTGTAATTCTTTAAAAAAAAAAAAAAAGCCAGGGCCCTAAAGATACCAATAGTACTAATGATATTGTCTCTGGAGGCCATGTTCAGGTCCATCAACTCTCCAAAAAAAACTTTAAAAACTGATTTTCTGTCATTTTACAATCTGGAAAAAATTGGATTTACAATAATCGATAAGCAAAATTTAATCTTTAACTATTGAATGTGCTTTATTTGATGACTGACTGATACAAAATTGTTAAAATGCAAATAATTCTTAAAGCATCACTTAATGTTTATGGTTTTATGTTCATTTTCTACAATTAATTAGCCTAAATAAGTTTAATAATATTAGTTTAAATAAAGTTCAGGCTTTTAATCTGTGTAGTCTATTAAAACAGTGCACTGTGAGTCCTCTCTGTAGGGCAGACTGTATGCTTATAGTTTACACACATTTTTCCTCCATTTACAGAATAAATGCAATATTATTCTAAGACTCCTCAAAGAAGAAAAGGGTAACATTAGCACTCTCAGTTGACCTAAATGAGGATTAATTAGAATTTAGAAGTTTGGAAGACAACAAGCTGCTAGCAACCCTGCAGCCACACAGCAAATGGTGGCCACATACAGTATCTGAGGAAAGACACAGCAGGACACTGAAAACAGGCATTTAAATGTAAAGCAAGTAGCCAAACACTGAAATGTTTTGAAGAGGGTTATGATAGTTTAGTTTGCTAAATTCTTTATGTAAGGTTCATACATTCGGACAAACAGACTTGTGAAAAGTTCATTTTTAGTGATTTTCAGTTTCTAAAGGTCTGAATGTTAAACTTAGGTTTCTTTAAATATTTTCCATGAGAATTATATATAATTGTACTAAAATTTTGAACAATACCCCTTTTTTCTTATTTTGGAGTTGCTTTAAGGTAATATACCCAAAAGTGCACCAAAAATATATTTCGGAAAATGTATTTAAATTATTTTTACTTAGTCTATTATATGACAAAATAATATTACAAACTGTTTTGTACCAATCATAATGCGTACCATAGAGGGTTAAGGATGAAGTGATCAGAGTTTGGTGGTCAAAAGTAAGCAGCATCCATATTTAAAGTGCTGTCTCCTGTCATGGCTACATATGAGTCTGGACAGACATATTTGTAAACTGTAACTGCAACATTACAGGTTGGCAGAGCTGCTTCTGTGTGGGGGCTTGCTTATCAATCCATCAGGACATGCCAGGTTAAAAAATCCTTGATTCTAACTCTTTATTACCAGACATGGACCAGCTGACTCAGATCATGAAAGTGACTGGAGTACCTGGAGCAGAGTTTGTACAGAAGCTGGACAGTGCAGAGGTAGGACAAATCACAGTGTTTGTACATACATATTTACATATACATCTAACAATAAAAACATACTGAAGGTTTTGCCATTATTTAAGCTTCACCTGTAGTGGGGGTAAAAATATAGAATTTGTCCTGAGGGTGGCACTAGAGGAAAAGACAGGGCATCAACAAAAAGTAGTTTATTGTAAGTGATTTTTATACACTGAACAAAAAGTTAAATGCCACGCTTTTGTTTTTGCTCCCATTTTCCACAGGTTTAAGTTAAAGATCTGAGACTTTATGCACACAATAGATATATTTGTCTTATATTTTGTTTGCAAATTTGTTAAAATTCATGTTAGTGAGCACTCCTTTTCCAGCATAATCAATCCACCTGACATATCATGATGCTGTTTTAACAGCATCATTACTACACTGGTGTGCCCTGGGATAATCACGAGAAAAGCGTGTCATTGGCATGGTGACTGCAGAGATGTTCCCTGTGAACTGAATGTTCATGTCACTATCTCAACATGTCTCAGATGTTGTTTGTTGTTGAATTTGGATTAACTTCCACATTCAGCATCTTTACCTGCAAGATTATCTGAGACCAGCCACCTGAACTGCAGTACATCCAACCAGCCTCACAATCGCACAAGTTGGTTACGATGTCAAACTGCTCTCAGGTCAAGACCCTGGTGAGGACGATGAGCATGCAGATGAGCTTCCCTGAGACAGTTTCTGAGGGTTTGTGCAGAAATATATGTGGTATGCGATTGTGAGGCCGATGGGATGTTCCAAATTCAATGACAGCAACATCTGAGACGGCTTACGGTAGTTAAAAGAACGTTCAGTTCCTGGGCAACAGCTCTGGTGGAAATTCCTGCAGTCAGCATGCCAACAGCACACTCTCTAAAAACTTGGGACATCTGTGGCAGTGTGTTATGTGATCAAACTGCACATTTTGTCTGTGTAGTAATGATGCTGTTTAATCAGCTTCTGGATATGCCTCACTTGTCAGGTGGATGGATTATCTTGGAAAAAGAGCAGTGCTCACTAACAAGGATATTAACAAATGTGCAAACAAATTATGAGAGAAATATATATATACTTAGTGCACTAAGAAAGTCTTGGATCTTTAACTCAAACCTGTGAAAAATGGGAACAAAAACACCAGTGCTGCATTTAAATTTTTGTTCAGTATATTTTTACAGGAAATAGTGCTATCCTCAGTCAGTTTTTGTTCAGTTGAAATACATGTAATTTGAATCATTTAAGTCTATGACTAGAGACAAAATACATACTGTCTGCAAAAATGCTGTTGCTTTGATTTGCATCATAATCTGGCGAAATTCTGTTTTTGATGCCTAATTTTATTTCTCTTTTATCTTTAAAAACAGGCCAAAACATACGTTAAGGGCCTTCCTCGCTATCCCAGAAAAGACTTCTCAACGTTGTTCCCCAGAGCCAGTGCAAAAGGTGAGTTTAGCCACAAGCTCTTTTTAAGCACCACTAGTCCACTTTTTTTTTTACTTTATTTAGTACATGTACAGTCTTTTATCACGTGCCACAGTGCTCGTCCACCATAGCAGTTTGGGATTAAACGTTTGTTTTTTGAAGGGATCGTCGTCTGTCGTTTTATAACAGACAAGCGGTGTTTAAATGGGATGAGGTGCATCTTAAAAGGTTACCTTTGTAGTCTCCAAGGTGGACCCTATTTCCTCATGGTTTCTGTCTAAGTGACTATTTGGAACAACAATTTTTGAAGTTGGTCCAGTATTGAGCAATAGTGCTGCACCCAGCAGCAGTGAAACAGGCTACAATGTAATCCATGTAGGCAATTGAGCACTGTCAATTTGTCTTCATTAAAAGTGTTTGTTTTGCCACTGACAGGCTCATATTGTCACTCTAAAGGTCTGACAAGATTATGGAAAGAATCCCACAGAGATAGACATTTTTGTTAAATCATAAGATTAATTTTGTTACACTAGAAACATCATCGTCACCATCATCAAACCCACCAAACTCTGCTTTGCACAAAATCAAACTGGATCATATTAGTATTCCTGATGTCCTGAGGTCTCATTCATAAAACAGTACATAGGATTCCTACTAAAAGTGTTTGTGTATACAAAAGCCCAAAAGAGCATGTGCCAAAAAATATTCTGATTTATAAATCTGTGATTGTAGCAATTTTCTTTTATTAATCCCAAGTCAACCTGGAATTATTCACACAGGGATCAGCCTTATATCCCACCCTCTACACACCCACATTCAACCACATATGGTCAATGCAAAGCACCACATGAAGGCTGATGAGCCTGCTGATCAGTGGCTCTTTATAGTGTATTATGGCCCATTGTAACCACAGTATTTACTGTATATGTTTACAGCAGTCACACTGATTGCTTCACACCGTGTCAAAACGATCACAGTAATCAGTGGTATCCACGACCCTGAGCTATCATTTGAAAATGGAAGTTTGATAGGTGAACACAGTGTTTTTAAATTTATCATGGAGATCTTGGCCTGCATTGTGATTATTATTTTGTTTATTATTATCATTATTTCTCAGGAGTCAGGATTAGGAGTCATAATGAGGAAATGGAGTTTAATAATTGTGCGAGAGCTGGCACTGACTTTACTTCCAAACTTTGCTAATCTACACAATCCATATATGCAGGTGGTGAAGATGTACTTATGTTGACTGGAGAAGCAAAAGCGTGGCAGTCCCCATTGTGCTCTGTTAGCACAGTCATAATGTGCAATGCACACAGAAACTGTATGAAGACTAAAATCGTACTTGGTGATATTTATTTACAGTATTAGATGATATCATAGAACACTGTTGACGCTCCGTTTCTTTTTTATTTAATGCTATTTCATGTGCACATTTCAACAGTTGACCATGAGCATCAGCAGCAGTTTGGCCTTCTCCTCTGCGCTAGGGGGGTGGGAATGTGATGGTGAAACAGCATGAAATAATGACCTGAATTCAATGTGAGATTTCAGTTGGCTTATAATTTTAACAATTAAAAGGTGTTGATGGAAAAGTTATGGCACACTAGCATAAGCACTAATGAAATGGCTAGATTGAATGTTTGTGTTAATGTGGATCTATACGAAACATGTGATATGAGGTTTGAGAGGCATCATTACATGTATAATGATTCCTCTCACATTTAATTTCTATAATCTGGCCTCAATTCCCCACCTCACTATCTTGCATTGGCTGTCATTTGGACAACTTAGAAATAAATATGCTTAAGCTATGAGGAAAGCTAAATCAGAATCTAGACCCACTGTAATTACTAGCTTCTTCTTAAACCTGGCATAATTTTAGAAAGCCGTAAACTCACACAAAAACAAATCCACTTATTCCCTACCTGTATGGTTTTTGAACAAAGTGAGATTTGCATAGCCTTCGACAAACACTTTGATGATGCATCTTTTTAAAAAAGAACGCTCCGTCTTATTGATGATATGTGTGCACCATGCTTCTCATTTGGTCTTTCATCCCCTCTCTCCTAATGATGTACTTGAAGTTTCGCAAGCCATCAATACCAGGAGGTCACCTTGAAAGGATAAATTGGATCCCTTTTTTCTTAAAGTGTACGCTCCAGTTATTACCGAGAAATTAATTCATATATTTAATCTTTTCTGTCTCAACGGGCAGATTTCCCAGTGTTTGGACGTCGACCCCTGTGATTCTTTTACATAATAATCACCACCCAATCTCCTAATTAACTCTTCTTAACAAAAATCCTTGGTAAATAACCAACTCAAGTCTTTTCATGCAAGGCACTCAGTTTTGATTCCATACCAATCTGGATATAGAGCTAATGGTTTGGTAGTAATCTTTGAGCAATGTGTTGATTATTCATTTAATTAATCAGTTAGTTGTTTGGTCTATAAAATGTCAGAAAATGGGGAAAAATGTTGATAAAAGTTTCCCAAAGCCTAAGATGACGTCCTCAAATATCTTGTTTTGTCCAAATACCCAAAGACATTCAGTTACCTGTCAAAGAGGAGTAAAGAAACCAGAAAAATAATATTCACATTTAAGAAGCTGGAATCAGAGAATTTTGATTTCTTTCACTCAAACCAATTCAATGATATCAGATTAGTTGACGAGTAATGGTTGACGACTAATTGATTATGTTGCATTGCTACTTGTGACTGCTTTCAGAGTTATTTGTTATAGAGGCATCAGTGTGTAAAGTTGGGGTGTGCACAATGTGAGTTTTTGCTGGTAACAAAGGGTGTACCACAAGGTTCAATTTTGGGTCCCTACTTTTATCAATATTGTCTCTTCTTTGAATGGTTGCCAAGCCCATCTTTAAGCTGATTACACTATTGTATATTGTGTTACTGATGCTGTACAACTGGCCAGAAAGAACCCTGCAACATTATTGTAATGTTCTCCAAGAAACTCTTGTTAATCTTAAACTGGTACTTGATGCAAATAAAGCAAAATTGACGGTTTGCTCAAGATCCAAAACCATAGACTATTGTAATCTGCGTAACTCTGCTGTCAGTGGATCAAATATTGAAAGGGTTACAGAATACAAATATCCTGGCATCTGGCTCAACAGATTTACATTTAAGTATGACTTCAGGGATCTACAAAAAATAACCTTTTTATCTGGAAATAAATTCATCTTTCCTTTGATCTGTGAGACGAGGCTTGTTGAATAAACTATCCTAGCAATTTTGGATTAGAAGAATGTAATATACAGACACAGTGCTGCCTCCACACTTAGGCCCTTTGATTGTGTTTAACTCTCAGCCCTAAGGTTTATTACAATTGATAGCTACAGTACTCACCACTGTATCCTCTATGAGAAGGTTGGTTAATTTTCTCTCTCTCTGACGAAGAAACATAATAATCACTGGTATCTGTGTATCTTTGAAGCTCTGGTCAGAAAATTACCATCATATGTGATATCTAAGAAGGTGCAGTTGTTGGCTGTGGTGCCTCAAAGCAAGAGGGTTCCAGGTTCAAACCCAGTGTCAGGCTGGGGCCCTTCTGTGTGGAGTTTGTATATACTCGTCATGTCAGAGTGGGGTATCTCTGGGTTCTGTGCATGTTTGCCTGTCTCTGTGTGTCAGACCTGTGATACTATGTCCTGTTCAGGGTGTACTCCACCTCTCGAGTCAGTGTCCATGCGACAGCTGCGAGAACTGTCACATCTGAATTCATGTATGTTTTTCTCATACATGCATGGCTTGTCCACATCATACTTCACAGTACAGGTGCAGATCTGTCACCACACAGTGTTGGAGCAGCCTGTTTTATACTGCAGAAGGCTGCTGTAACCATACCACTGCTGCTGTAGGCTGCCTCAGTCGCAAGTCAATAGAGCCTGACTGCCAGATAATTTCTGACGGGGACAGCTTGCCTACATTTTCAGTCCTGCTCTGACAGCCTTGGGACAGAGATATTGGAATGTAGCCCTCCGCAAGTTTCAGAGGAAGTGCTCCTCTGTGAAACCCTCCACATTACGTCCCCACCACTGCTTACTCCTCTCCTGTTCCCACACCTCGCTCTCCACAGAACTACGGTATCAGCAATAGTTGCTAATGGAGCTATAGCTGTGGCTTTTGCGTTCCTTCATCTTCTTTCCCTCATCCTCAACATATTCCATAGCAAATCCTTCAGGAAATGGACACTCAGACCACTATGCCATTCATTTTTGTCCCCAAATGCCTGTCTTGCTTTTATGCAATTTTTTTTTTTCCAACATGCATATGTGATATAATTCGTTGCATGTGAGTCCTTTCAGGTAACAGATCTATTCACATAGATGTCAGATATTGGTCATTTCAGAGATGAATGTGAACAGTCGAGGCAGAAAGATAGGATCGGAGATAGGAAAGATTGGAATTAAGCATTAAACCCTGTGATGTAAACTTAGCTTTAGCTACTTTCTGTCTCTGAATGATGTAATACTGCTGTGACTCTCTTTATGCTCTGTTCATGAAAGCTCTTCCACCTACTAAACTGTCAGTGTTAGAAAGATAAAGAACAGGAGAAATTCTCTAAGTAGTACATTCTATGTATCTTGCAGCAGCAAAATTTCTTCTTCTGCTTATCTTTTTAAAACATCTTAAAGTGTTGCACTAAATAAGCATTAATAATTTAATCTTCTGCGTCGAAAAAGCTTACAGCAACTCGCCATATGGCTAATGTCAGTATGGGTTGTTGTCTTTGATCAAATTGTTGGATTTTTTTTGTTCCACTGACTGTTTGCAGGCATTGACCTGCTGGAGAAGATGCTGGTTTTGGACGGAGACGAGAGACCCACAGCCGAACTAGCGCTGGAGCACCCATATTTCGACAGCTTAAGGGACCCGGACGACTTTCCTGAGCCTACGCCATACGATGACAGCCATGACAACGACACATTGTCCCTGGATGAGTGGAAGCGTAAGTGAAAAACAGTTAGCAAACACAGGATGTATATGTTGTAAGGGCCTGTTTTTTATTCATCAGAGGAGGGGGTGGCTGGAGCGGGACTTTGATGTTTGAGAGTTAAACGTTGAAAACATAATCCTGGAGTTAACAAAAGTCTTGGTTTTCCACTATTGTCATGCATGCAGGAGTGCAGACTTAAACGTTTTTGTTTTTTTTTTTAACAAGATCTGGTTATTTTTGGAGACATTTTTAATGAGACATGTAGAATAAAGTGATTTTGATGAAATGTCTTATGTAAATGTCTAATTATACCTAATTTAAGCTTAGCTTTGGTTATGTTTTCTAATGGAAGCATATCTCTTATGTGACGTGTAGAATAAACATCGAAATTTTCTGTTTACACAGTGTGTAGCTACGATAAATGGTGTGATTTTGGAGATCTTTAAGGAAAAAATGCCTGTAAAACCCATCAGTGGGTTTTGGGGTTCAGAGGGTATTTAAAGTAAATACAAAATACAACAGGTAAAAGTCGTATGTCCCTTCCCTAAGCCAAAATAGAAAATGTATGTCCCTCCCCAGTGCTTAAAAAACTGACATCAGTCATTTTACACATTTCTTAGAAAAGAGACATTATTTCTGTTGTTACATGAGAAAGATAAAAACCAAAATAATAGACAGCCTCATAGTGGATACAGTAAATAGAGGAGCTGTATTATTATCATGCTTTTAAAATGGTTGAAGTGGACGTTTTCTTTTTTTAAAAGTGTTTACCATGTTGGCCATATTGGATGATTTACGACTACACAAGCATTCTGTTGATGGGCTTCTGTTAATGTGTTAATTAATAATTAATCTTCCTGTAATGATTGGAGTTGTGGACATGCAGCATATGCAGAAAACAAATGTCTTCCCCTTTTGCACACAGGGTTATGCTTCAGAGAGGTGAAAAGCTTCGTGCCATTTCCACGGCGGGACTCCAAGAGGAAAAACACTCTGACGATGTCTCCGTGACCTGAGAATGTCTTGTAATTACTGACTCCCCGCCCTACACAGCATACAGCCAATGGTGCCCTTGTATATTCCAACCATGGATCCACTCGATTTCTTTTACCCTGGATATGTTTAGATTTTGACTCAGTGTTCAGAAGTGATTCTTTTAAAATGTTCCCACTTTTTTTGTGCAATTCTTTTCTAAGTGTGGACTGCTCTTTGAAGTACACTTTCAGTGAACTATCTCTCAAATGTATTGTGACCAAATGTCACAGAATTTACTGTAATATTTTTTTCCAATTGAATAATAAGACATGGTGTGTACAGAGTTTTGTTTTTGCAGCAAATATTAAATGCCACTGCCCAAGGTCGACTGGTCTAACTCATAGCCTATAAATATCTTGTCATTAATATTTTTGCAGTCTTAAGGAGGAAATGGCTTCTTTATATGTTGTTTATTAAAATTATCATCAAGAGACAACAACTGGGTATTGCTAATGAATGCGCTGAAAACTCCTGCAAAGCAAAGGCCTCAAAGATTAGCATTTACTGTGTCCAATATGCATCTCGTGTCAGCTGGAATGTGTGACCATGAAGGTGTGTATGATGTGCAAAGCAAACAGGTTTGTGGTTCTATACTCCACTACTGTAATATCTGACATGCTGTATATATCATAACTGCACACAATTTTACACCCAACCATTACAGATCTTTCTGGTATGATACAGCTTTTGAATATGCACTCTACTGGGCTGGTACATTTAGAGGGTGCTGTGTGATGCATAATATTGCACAGAGGTCATTCATGAATTTTATGGATAATATGTTGAATTCATTTTGTCATCTATCTGAAAGGGAATCCTGCATCTACTGATTTTAACCATGTGATACCCTAAAATATTATGCTGGTCTGTCACTCTCTCTGAGAAGGTGAGTGTGTGTGTGTGCATGTGTGTATACAACTAGAATAAACAATTATATTCATGAGCATGCATGTGTGCACACATTTTGTGTACATTGGGTGACAGGTTTCCACTCCAGGTACAGACAGATGGACCAGTCACTCAGAGAGCTGATTTACACAATTGCACGATCAGTTGTGAGAGAAGAACCTAACTGTAACAGTGTTGGACAAATCCCTGCCACTGTAACAAACATATGTACACCAGACTTTAACTGAACAAATGGTTTAAACAGGGGATGTAAAGGGCTCTTGGTGTTTGAGTTCAGATCACATCTGTATCCCACTTCCATAATACATGTAGTGTGCAACAGTGACAGCTCAAGTATACTTAAAACAGTAAGTATGCATATTAAAAAAAATTCACTTGATTTGTGAGAGTGCTGTTAATAAAAAAAAGTCAAAGCAGTTATCTGCGTAAATGAAGTCTGTTCTATTAATCTTGAATGTTCTCACAACACAAGTTAAAATGAATATATACAGTTTATGTAACTTGAAAAAATTAGAATAAGAAAAAATAATACATATATTAAAATGGATTTTAAAATTTTTCCAATAAGATTCTAATTCGAATCAAATTTAAGAATGTATAATATTTACAACATTCATATCACCACTTACAACATCAAAATGACAAATTTCTTATAAACATCATCTCTTGAACAATCCATTAAAGGTATTTAAATAAAATCTGATTCCCATGTCTTAGAAACATCAAATTTACAACATCTTGTGTATGTGTATATATATATATATATCCGAGCAGTACTATGCTGTATACATATATATGTATACAGCATAGTACTGCTCGGAACAGGAACAGAAAAATCATGTCTTTGTGTCGACTTGGCTGGAGCTGAATTTGACATTCTGCACAACATGGTCCACTCAGCACCCTGCACTACACCCTCCTCCACAAGGAGAGAAGTTAGTAGGGTGTCATCTTCTATTTCATTGGTATTTCAATCCCAATCAGGAATCAGTGTTGGATTGTTATTTTATTATTGTGATGATGTTCTTGTCAGGTTTCTATCCACAGCTCAATCTGGTCTGCAACATTTTCTAAAGGTTTCAGTCATCTCCACGGTAATCAGAGACCCCCTGCATTTTTTAACAGTTTGAGTGTGTTTCTGTCACTGGTTACTAAAAGTAATCTGCACAGACAGCTGTTAAACTCTCACAAATATCCCACTTGTATTTGCCATCTCTCATCACACTCTGAATGTAGTGAGATTATACCATGTGGACATGCGTGTGCACTACATGTGTGCGTATTGTCACACAGTTCTCGTGTGTGAGTGAGTGGATAGTGTTGTGTGTGCCTCCTCACTGTTTAATGTGTATCCCTCTTCAGGATAACAGTACTTGTAGGTGTCTCACTGTGCTTTGAGGGTGTATTGCAGGCCTCTCCATTGCAATGGTGACACAGTTTGGGAGAATGAAGAGCAGAACCATATGGCTCTTGTGAGAGATCACATGCTGGCAACAAAATAGCTACAGTCAGTTAAAGATGAGAGGAAAACCAAAGGAATAAAAGAGATATTGAATTATAAAATACATTTTCAAAGTTTGAGTCCTGTGTCCCTGTATTCATCAAGATTATCCTTTGGCATATGCAACATATGCACCAAGTAAACATTTATGGGTGTTTTTCATCTAAGTCCATCTTTTTTCCTACCTATAAAACACTGAAATACATGAGGAGACTCATCTTGAACTCAAAGGCATATATAAATGTATTCAATCAGATGGGATTTGACTGGCTAAAGCTGCCCATCATACAACATGGTGCCTGCAGGTTCACCAAGTTAAATGATAGACTTTTTAATACCGCACAGTTTGCAATTTCTTACCCATTTCACAATCATAGAACAAATTGGCTAACCAATTTTGAATGTAGTTTGGGATTTTTTTTTTTTTTTTGCTAAACTCTATCTTGCCCAGTATGAGCCGGTGAGCTACGAAGCGTATTGCATTCACTTGACAAATAAAAAAAGCCCCGTTTTTCTGAGTAATATTTTCTGTTTTTCTGAGTAGTTTTTTCCCCTGTTTTTCGTGGTATTTTTTTTTTTTCTGTTTTTCGTGGTATTTTTTTCTTCTGTTTTTTGTGGTAATTTTTTTCTGTTTTTCGTGGTAATTTTTTTCCTGAACGATGAGACGAGATACTTCAAAATCTCGTAAGAAGCTCCCACCTGGCACCTGCAAGTGACCCCTGCATCCATGGTGACTCCTGCTCATGGATGTATTTTGCATCTGTGCTCCTGCTCCTAGACAATTTCAACTACGGGATCAATAAGGTTAAGGCACATAATTAGTTACACACAGGGTATGATAATCTAGCTATGTTTTCGACTGCATCCTTCTAGTGTAGGCCTATCGCTCAATGTAACAGGTTAGGTTAGTAACAGGTTGTAACAACGTTAGCTGACAAATGTCTATGTAAGTAAGTAAGTAAAGTTTATATTTAGCACCTTTCACAGATATAAAATCACAAAGTGCTTCACAATAAAAGCAAAAACACAGACAATAATACAATGAAAATACAATTTTAAAAAAATGGTCACAAATAAAACAAACCCATAAGAAGCAATAGAAGGAAGTAAAAACATTTAATCAGTCAGCCAAAGGCCTGTCTGAATAGAAATGTTTTAAGTTGCTTCATAAAAATAGTACAGGAATCTGTGGATCTCAGAGAGAAGGGGAGAGTGTTCCAGAGTTTGGGAGCAACAGCTTGAAAAGCACTGTCGCCTCGGGTTTTAAAATGGGTCCTAGGGATGGTGAATAAAATCTGGTCAGAGGACCTAAGAGTCAGATTGGGCGAGTACAGGAGAAGGAGGTTGGCAATGTACTGTGGCATCTGACCATGTAAAGCTCTAAAATTTAAAACCAACATTTTAAAATTAATGCGGAATTTGATTGGTAGCCAGTGCAGAGAGGATAAAATTGGCATGATATGTGATCTCTTGTTACTACTAATTAAAAGCCGAGCAGCTGCATTTTGGACAATTTGGTGCCGGTTCAAAGTGGTTTGGTTTAAACAGGTAAAAAGAGCATTATAATAATCTAAACGAGAGGAAATAAAAGCATGAATAATCATCTCCATCTCAACTCCACTCACCACAGATCTTAATTTAGCAATATTCCTCAAATGGAAAAAACACAAGAGCTAATAAGCTGACTGACATGACTGTCTAGGGACAAGGACTGGTCAAGAATGACACCTAGATTTCTGACGGTACGCTGAGCATGAGCACTTAAAGGCCCCAAAGAATTCTTATTGACATGAATGGAGTGTTTCTGGGCAATTATAAGTGATTCTGTCTTTTTAAAATTTAACTGGAGGTAGTTGTCAGACATCCAGCTTTTAATAGCATCCAAACAATCATTTAAAACAGACAATTGGCTGGACTCATCAGTTTTAAAAGAGCAGTATAGTTGAATATCATCAGCATAAAAATGATAAAAGATTCCACTGTACTGACTAATAATCTGTCCAAGAGGCAGCATATACAGGGAAAATAACATGGGACCCAGAACAGAACCCTGCGGGACACCGCATGACAACAGCGCTGCGTCCGACATAAATTGGCCAGCAGCGACTGAAAAACTCCTATCAGTGAGATATGAGGAAAACCAATCTAGAGCAGACCCAGAAATACCCACTAACTGGTTTAACCTGTTTAAAAGAATGCAAAAGCAGAGCTAAGATCCAGTAGCACCAGTACAGAGCATTTCCCACCATCAGCTGCCATCATAATGTCATTAGTAACTTTAAGCAGGGCTGTTTCTGTAGAATGCATTTTAGGGAAACCTGATTGACAGGAATTATACAAGGTTGAACTATGGCATGTTTAAAATGGCTCGGGACAGAGCCAGTCAAAAGAGAGAGATTAATAATATCTAAAATAGTGGAGCCAATTGAATTAAAAACACTTAAAAACAAGGATGAAGGAAGAATGTCGCAGGGGCCAGAAGAAGGCTTGATTTTGTGCACAAACTTAGTGATGTCCTGTAAGGAAACAGGAGAAAAGGAGCTCAGATTAGTGGAGCAGGGAACACTAAAGTTATGATGGTTTGAAGATGGGAGGATATTCACTCTTATATCACAGACTTTATTCACAAAATAGTTTAAAAGTTATTGCAATCAGTATCAGAGAAGACAGACACTTGTGGAGCAGTAGGAGAGACAATGGTGTTAATGGTCCTGAATAAAACTTTTGAATTTCCTTTGTTAGCAGAGATGAGGTTGGCAAAATAAGCAGTCCTAGCATCCCTTATCATATTGTTTAAACAGATTAAAAGCTCTTTAAGGTGCAGCTGATGGACCTCCAGCTTAGTAGACTTCCATAAACGCTCTAGTTTTCTACATTTTCGCCTAAAGCTGCGGATTGACTCATTGATCCAAGGTGAGGAATTGACAGATGGTATAAGTCTGGATTTTAAAGGAGCCACTATATCCAAAACAAAAGAACACTGTTTATTAAAAGACTGGACAAGGGTCTCCACATCGTTAAAATTAGATAGCACATCTGAGTTAAATAATGTAATAAAATTTTCAGCTGTGGTCTCGTTTATGATGCACCTAGAGGACATATGTTTTTGCGGCAGCAGCTCCGCATTACAGGAAGCATTAAAAAGAATACACTTATGATCACTAACAAGGAAATCCTCCAGGCAAACATCATCAACCATTATAGCATGTGAAAGAACTAAATCAAGTGTATGTCCAGCATTGTGTGTGGGCCCAGAAACATGTTGAGTAAAGTTAAAAAACTCAGTGATGCTAAGAAAATCAGATGCAGCCTTAGAGGTTTCATTATCAACGTGGAGGTTAAAATCACCAAGAATTAAGAATTTAAACTTTGTCCAACTTTATAACTGAAGATCAAAACTCAATAAAAACAGAAAGGAAAGGACCAGCTGGGCCAGGAGGTCTATAAATTAAAATACAATAAAAAGGCTTCAACTGACCAATTTTTGTCATGTTAAGTTCAAAAGAGGGGAAAGACTCAGTGCTGACTAAGCGACAGTCTATGGGCATGATTTCAATTGTCAGATTATAATAATGATTGATTATCATACCCTGTGCAAAGGGTCCTCAGTGGTCAAGCTGGCTGAGTGGAGCTGGCGGACTCAAAGGAAGAGAGAGAGAGGAGTCCTGAAATAGGAAATAGAGTTTGGCATAGGTGTGTATGTAAGTGTTTGTGTGTGCCATACTTGAAAGCCATGATAGAAGTAAAGCATCCAGCTCTTGGGGGAAATTACCATACTGTGGAATATCTGAACCACTATGCCCACAAGTATGTTGAGAAGGACTTTTTACCCGCTACGCATGGCCCACAGAAGAGTAGCAGTCATGGCGTTGTACAGCACCAGATTCCAGTCCTCCGGAGGCAGAATCTATTTAATA